TTGAATATAGGATGGGGTTAAAACTTGCCTGGACTTGACTTGTTAGACCCCGTGTGACTAGAAAGTATGGAATGTGTCCAAGATGATACTAAGGAGATGAGAATTCAGTAGAGCATTGTTGAAGACAGCCCCTGGAGAAGGATGAAACTATTTCATGTGTGTATCTGCCATGATTTGAATGTTTGTGTCTCCCCCGAATTCATATGTTGAAATCCTAATCCCCAAAGGGATAGTAGGTGGGGTCTTTGGGAGGTAATTAAGTTATAGGGATAGAGCCCTCATAAATGGGATTAATGCTTTTATTAAAAAGGCCCACAGAGCTCTCGGCCCTTTCTGCCATGTGAAGATACAATGAAAAGCCTGTGACCCCTCATCCAACCATGCAGGCACCCTGATCTTAGACTTCCAGCTCCCAGAACTGTGAGAAATAAATTTCTGTTGTTTATGTCACCCAGTCTGCGGTATTAGCCTGAATGGACTAAGAAAATATCCTAATAATTTTAGACTGTTCAGTAAACCTCATGCTATTTGGGTGCATTATGTATTCATAGCACTTATATTGTCTGCCATAACACTGTGAAAGTTAGCTGGATTTTGTAAAGAATCCTGAGAATTCAATCTTCTTGTTTGCATAATCAGCATAATTAATAATTATCAAATTCTTTGATTCTAATAACTTGACCCATAATAATTTACTGTGGTTCTAAAGTAATCTGATAAGTGTCTTATTTGTAATGCTAACTTCTGCCATTTGTGACAAATTTTAATAGGAATTTCTCAATGGTAGTGATGGATTGTCTTTTGACTTTCTATTAAATGAAGATAAGAAACTGACAAATTGCCTCTAAGGAATCAGCTTTTATTTTTTAAGATGAGACCCATTACACCAAGCATGCATTAAAAAGCTATAAAACTAAAAGAAGCTTGCTGTGGGATGGATCATTAGGAACCATCTCAGAAATAGATGGAAAGGATGCGGGCTTAGCAGTTGCTGTTATATATGATTCGGCACTTCAGGAGCTTGAGATAGTTGTCAATCTTATGTGAATCCCTGCGTAGGCAGTGGAGCAGGTTATAAAAAGCAAAAAGGCGAGTGTCTTCATCGGCCATCTGCAACGATGGAAGTCCTGACCAGACAGAATAGACCTCGTTTTCTTTGACTCCAGGATGAACCTAATAACCAAAAAGAGAGTGATTTATTAGTAGTATTATTAGTAGTTGCTTATCTTTGTTTCTTCTAATTGTTGAATTAAGATTTGTGGAAGAGACATGAATGTAAAACTGACAGAGGCATGGATTATTGAGCCAGTGCATCAGAAATCTATTTATAATGTAAAAACTAGAAGCGCAACTCACATACAAGTTTCCTCACATGTATGTGATCACAGATGAAGTATGTTTGTGCAGGAGTAGATAAATGGAGAACCAGAAAGTTGCTAATTGAATGTAGAAGTGAATGTGACCGAGGGACAATGAAGGAACTAGCCTCAATCCTTGCATTTGAGCAACTATTTCATTTCATGAATCTTGTCTCTGATGTACACTTAGTACTTTATTTCCTCTGATAGGTCACTATAATTACATTGATGTTTTTCCTGCTTTGAGCTGATTCTAGTCTCCACATAGTCTATGTACCAGAAAACTTAGAAACGATGAGGATTCTACTTGATGTTTTAAGGTGCAGATGATCTAGTGATGACTAAAACTCAGATGATCTGCTGTAGTCAGGAGACTTTCACAATCCACCCAGGATAGATAAGCCCCAAATTTCTATGAGGAACAGTAATTTTGTTTTGAGGTGTGTGGGGTGGGAGGTGTTAGGAAAAGTACCTATAAGAAGGGAGTACTGACAACAACCCCACCAGTTGTGAGGGATGGTAGTGGGTGGGAGCACGACTGTGATAATAAAAGGCTACTGAGCAATGTGATGGAGGAGCATGTGCCTCTCAGCGTTCTATGAGCCCTTGTGGGCTGGGAGTGACCAGGGACCTGAGAATGAGCAACAGCTTGGCAACTAGGGATGTCGGCTAGTTTGGAGATATACTATGTGGGGTGCCTGTAGACTCTAATTGCTAAAATAACTTTCTCCTGCAGACTAAGAATATTTTTTGAAACCTGAGATTCTTTACTGTAATTTAAAGTGTGTGTGTGTTGTGTGTGTGTGTGTGAGTGTGTGTATTTGTTGGCTTGTTTTATGTTTTTTATTGGTGCTTGAGTCCTAAGGCAAAATTTATTGTGCATGAGACAATGATATGAACAAGAGTAAATAAATATGTAGTAAAAAAGAACAGAAAATGAAATATTATAGAGCAAATTAGTGACCTATGAAAGTAGGCCAATGGTAATGAAGAAAATAACTTGAAAATCTAGGTGTTTGTTTCACATGTCCTAAAGTTAAAATATGCTTTGTATTTGTGTTGGATATATTCTTTTTCTATGAAAATGACCAAAATGATACATGATAACATGTACTTTGTACTCAATAAGAGAAATATAAAATTCCTCCTGTTATTATTCCTATAATCATATTTTTCTTTAGATGATACATTATTTCAGAAAGCTGTTTAGATGTTACCATACTCATGTTGAAATGACCCCATCTAAATGGAGATATATATTGCAAATGTTACCTCAATCTAAATATGACCAATTATTTGGGGGAGATTAAATGCAATGTATGAGTTTCATTTTTGAAGTCTCCCCAAACAAAATTTAGGATATGCGCCTTTCTACAGATTACAAAATAAAGAACATTTCAGAAAAGATATAGCCCCTTCTTTTGTGACCCACTGAAATCTAGTGTGGCCTCATCTTTTCGATCTTCCTTCTCTCACAAAAATGTCTAGCAGAGGGGGAAGGAGGAAATGGGAGGAAACATCATCCAATCTGAATTTGATTTTCTCTTTTCTCCCTTCCCACTCTCATGCTTTGGTGTGGGGAGAAAAGATAAAGAATATGAGCAGAATTTCAAAAACAGGCATCCTGGAATGCCTGAGGAAAACTCTGATCTTGCAGATTCTATTTTCCAGTTTTCTTTTCCCTTGAAAATATTTTAACTGCTTGCCCCAGGAGAGACCAAGGCTTGGGTGGATTTGTCTGCAGTATAGAAAGGCTGCACCTGTCAAATAACACAGTAGAATGCTAAGATTCACTTACAATAGAATCTATCACTACACATGACTAGGCTCTTGATTTATTTAATAGCAATTTAGAATATAAAATGCCTAAATTTTGTTCTTGCAAAGTGTGATATTTCAATATTCATTCCTCATCAGAGAGGTCACTTCTTTCATTAATGAGAAAAATGAAGAAGTGTCAAGAGACCCCTCACCTGGCCGACTATCTTCTCCATGCCCTCTAGAAGCTGTTTGTTTTGTTCCTCAATCTCTATTGCTCTAGACAGGATAGCATCCGGGGCTTCTTGCATACCACGCACTTCTGTGACTAGATGATACAGAGGGTCATTCCAGGAACGCAACACTCTGAGTACCAGGTTCAGGAGGTCTTCGTGCTAAGCAACCATTAAAACAATCGCATTAAAATAAGTACAATATGATTGGTTACATATGATTTTTGATCAAAGAGACTGACCTAAATACCTCTTTTTCATTTCTTTGTGTAAAATTTTTGTAGGTGGTAAAATTTATAAAAATATAAAATTTAAGCTATTGGCTTACACTTTGCTAAAATTAGAAAACAAACAAACAAACAAAACCAAAAAACCTGGCTTATTTAAATAACTACTCCTTCTAATGAGAGTTCTAATTTATAACCCAAAGAATTTTGTTTTCCTTCTGAAATGCTACCATTCGCCCACTCAGGGAATTATTTTATATCTGACTGCTTTGCTTGTCCATGGGGAGAAACCAAAGAGTTTTGTTAGATCTCTATTTGTGCCTTTTCTGACTAAGGAAAGATAGATTCCACCAGTGTCAATGACTAAGAGTCCAAATCATTTTCACCTGAAAATTTATTCTTATTAATGAATCAAATCATCTATTAATATATTCACTTGTGAGTTTTAGCTTTATTTTACAATATTAGAACAAAGCAACAACAAAGAAGACATGGAATTTGGAAACATGCTTCCTCAATCTGTGAACCCTGCCCCATGCTGCTATCAGAGAAGTCTAGTTATTGATGTATTCAAGTGAATAAAATGGCACAATGCTATCTTTAATTACAGCATTGAAGGAATTCACAATGAAGGTTTTTGCCTTCTAGTTTACTGCTACCAGGATTTTGCATGAAACTTCAGAGCTGATCAGCTCTGATTTAAAATATTTGCTTTCTTGATGTCCATGAACTAGTCTAGTGGTAAGGGAAATGAAGAATAGAGAAGAATTGAATAAACATTGCAATGGAGACATAAACTAGGATATAAAACAAAGGAACCGTAAAGAGCAGGCCATATCATGCATGGCAGTCTAGTTTTATGGAGGGCATTGTAACAACAAAAGTGAGGGTTTTGAACTGGACGAAGACCAGGCCCACTGTTCACTACTGGTGTGACTGGTGCAAATTCTATAGCCTCTCCAAGCCTCTGTGTCCTTATTACACTTAGTAAGTGTAATAACAATACCTTACATTACAGGATTTTGTGTGAGGATTAAATACAGAAATGCACATGAAGTGCTTTGCACAGTGTCTGGCAGTGTAGTGGCTCCTCTTCCTCCTCCTTCTTTACCTTCTTTTATTTTATTATTATCATCGTTATTATCATAATTGTTATTAATGAGCTTAAATGACATAAGAAAAATGCTGGTACCATTAACAAAGTTGTAAAGAGAGAACAGGTTGTATTTATGGGGGTAAATATATAAAGATGTTTATTTTAAATTATGTTAACTGTGGTTATGGCAGGGAATTAGAAGGAAAAATTTATAACGATTAAAAAATAGAAATTCGGATAAATGATCTGGGCTTGATATGCAGTCTTTGTTGTCATCAGAATAGAGGCATAATCTTAGTCATGAGAAACAAAGCATCATATTTTATAGGACCTGCTTTGGGGGAAGACTTATCATTTGGAAGTAAGAGGTGGCAAACGAGTGTGAATAATGAAGAAGTAGGAGAATTGGGAGAGCCTTGAAAATCCAGAAGAGGTGGCTCAGATGGTGCAGAGGTCAGTAATGTGAAAATGTGAAATGCTGTCCTTGTAGGAGCCACTAGTAACATGTTATAAATAAAAATGCATTTGCAATTCTTACATATCCATGAATTTTGCAAACCTTACATTTTACACATGAAAGTCCAATTCATCTCATGCTTTTGTACAGTGTAATATATGCAGTCCTGGGTCTAAGGCATCAGTTAACATCATGTCGTCTATGTGGACAATTTATAGATTTGTTATTTAATTTGCTGCTACAATCCTTAGTCAGAATTTGATTTTACTGATAATTCATTGACTACATAATGTAATTTTTCTTTGATTGCTTACTCTTCCTCCTCTTTGCTCTGAACATGCAATTATCATTACCTATTGTAGTGCCTCCAATAATCTACAACATGGTAATACCAGTGTACTGCCTCAGTTGTTAGGGTGAGAAACTTGGATAAAAGACTCACATTGATCTGTTGGGCTTGCTCCTTGTCCTCAGGGGTAGAGAGGGAAGAAGTGTGGCAGCTGTTGATGGTCTTGGTAATAAACCCTCTGCCCTGGGCATACCGTTTATCCTGGAAGTGATCAAGCATTTCAGTTAGGGTGATTTGGGCATTTGATTGAATCAGTGAACCCATTCCCAAAATATTAGCAAATTTGATACATGTGTAACTTTTTAAAAATGAGAGCCACATACAAATTGAAACCCAAAATTTAAAGTCACCCTCTTCTCTACCTTTTCTTTCCATTATTTCTATAAACATTTTTTAAATCAAACTTTTCTAAATTCCAAACTCTTCTTTATTACTTGTTTAAGTTCAACCTTCCCACAAATTACTATTTGGAAAGCAAACACTAAAAATACTAAAAATATGAAATATTAAATTAGTTATCATTTTTCTTTAGTATTTAAACCAAATGTTATGGTGCATATATACCTATATTTAGCCATTTAATCTCTTGCTCACTGTAGGTCTGAATTGATATGCTCTTTAATAGGAATTAAAAATTATAATTTTTCTTTACTCATCTCTGAATCTACACATATATTTTACCATGTTCATCATTAATACAGAATACAATTTTCTGATCATGACAAAATAATAAGTCAGAAAAACAAGGCATAAAATTTAAGGAAATATTAAGCAATGGACTGAGAATAAGAACAGGAGAAAAATAGCTAAATGCATTGACAAATAAAAATGAATCTTTAACAAAAGTTGAAAGAGATTACTAAGAAGATTTTGAAGACAAAAGATGCCAATCAAATATGGAAGATGAAAGAAAAATAGTGAGTAAAAAGAACTATATAAATACACATTTATTGCAAGCATTGACCCACATTCTTTATGGAGACCCCTTGATTTATCGAAGCTCTAATCCAATGTATGATCCTTTATTGACCTAAAAGAGTTAACATACAACTTTCAAAGTATCTTAATCAGAAGGAGAATAATTGTTTCCAGATCTAAACTAATCCATTTTAATTCTAAACATATATACTGGAAATCTTAGAACAATAATTCACAGTGTTCTTGGGTTTCAGAAAAGCTAGCTATAGTTACTTGTTTATTTTCCTAACATGTATTCAGCTTAGTTTAACTGTTCAATCCACCCAATTCACTGCAGTGCAATTTTCATTTATTGGATATCTGCAATGTGCTAGGTGAAGAATACCTTGGGAGACATGCACCTTCCATGTAAGGACACGGAATCGACATGTTTCTTTTCCCTCGGCCACACCTAAAAGTACTTTATGTTAGGTATCTGTGTCCCCCCAAATTCATATGTTGAAGCCTCAACATCCAATGTACTATATTTGGAGATAGGATTTTTATGGGAATAATTAAGGTTAAATGAGGCCATAAGGGTGGAACCCTGATACAGTAGGATTATTTTCCTTATAAAAAGAGACACCACAGAACTTCTCTCTCTCTCTCTAAGAATCTTTGAGATTTCATAAAACTGTCCCTTTCTTCTTTTTTCACATTTTATAAACTGATGCCTTCTTTTGTCTAGAAGGTATATAATTTGAAAGTTTGCTCCTGCGTTTTCCTTATTTAAAGTGTGATGTAGCCCAGTCATTCATGCGAAAGTTTCTTCTGGGCAGAAACATAAACTATTGTACTTACAAATTCGTTGAACATTTCTGAGGAGAGATTGTGGATGTAGTGAGAGAGGACGACTGCACGGTCAAACAGGTCTCGGAGGGACACTTGGCAGTTGACAGCCCCACTGGAACAGATGGGCAGGGAGTCTACACTCTTGCACAGGAGCAGGTTTGACACCAGCAGCAGCAGCAGTAGGAGTGACCCTGCTTAAACAAAAACAGGAGCCATTCTCAGATGATCTATTCAACTGAGGTTATCAAAAGTCATCCTGTGGAGGACAGCCTTATCTCTCTCTACTGCCCTCTGCATGATTTAGTACTATAATGGCTGGGGTGAGGAAGAATCAACACCTTCCACTGTGTAAATTTAGATATATAATTATATTTGCACAGATATATAATTTGAGAAGTAGGTTACTCCCTACATTTTTGTATTGCTCCCAGAGGTACTTCTGTACCTTGCAAACATTTGAAACTTAAATTAATTCTGAGCCAGAGTGTTTAGGTCAATCCTTGAAGATAGTTTGGGGTCTTGGGAATTTCTGAAAATTTTCAACATCCTAGCTCTCTAGGATTAAAAAAATGTTTAACTCTATGTTGACTAATGCTTTCATTTAGACACTGAAATGGCAAAAATAGCACAGTCGATCTGTTTGTTTTACATTCATACTTAATAAGAATAATCACATGATTGACTGATTGCTAATATTGAATATGAAGAGAATTCTAACATAAAAATGATGCTGTAGCCTAGATCTGCTAATTCACCTTCATAACCCCATGTGTTTGCATGACACTTTGCTGAAAGCTTTAAGTTAAAAAAAAAAATGTTCATTTCACAATAACCCTGAGATATCCTCGATCTTCATTATTATCATCAAATTATATTGATGAAAGAGAAGTCTTAGAGAGGTTAAGTGATCTTTTCCCAGTCCCATTACTAGCAGATGGAGTAAGCCGGACACCAATACTGTCACATTTTCACTTCCTCATCTCGCATCATACACACCTGTGTGCTCTCAGTCTGCATACATGTAACAGGGGCCACCTCCGTAACCGTGATGTCTTGAAGAGGCCATTGCCATTACTTGTAAAGAACAATATTTTGTCTTTGATTATATGAAAACAGTGGCCCTAGGAAGTTGATTTTATCCACTTTTTCTGCTCTATTAAATGCCCATTTAAAAAATCTTTGACAATTATCAAAGATTATTTAGTTATCAATTTGCTATCTCGGCAGATGGACAGATACGCATCTTTAACATATCAATAATTTACACTTTCAAAAGGACAGAAATAATATATTAAAATCACTTTTTAACTTTAAATGACTCCAAAAGAACATCTGATATAAAAATGCGTTGAGGAGAAAGCTAAGTTTTTTACAAAATCCTCAATAAATGTAATTAGGAGTGTCCAAGATAAAACTAGGTGAGTACTAAAGATTTCTGTGTGAAAAAAATACCTAAACCTAAATATCTAAAAATAACTTAGTATAGAATATAACTAAACAAACTTTTAGCTACAAAATAAAAAAAAATATTAATGTTGTGAGATGATTCATGTAAGACTTAATTTTTCAAAAACATGATGTTTCCCTAAAGTTTATGTCCATTATAGTCATGTAACATAGCTGAATGTATATTTTATCTATAGGTGTGAATAAAAAGTACTTTGCAGTTAGAGAAATTGGTTCTAAGAGATTCACAACTGGATAGATATTCTTTAACTCTGAATACATTTATCTGTACATTTATCATCTGAAGGATTTTCATAGTCTAAGATGAGATAAAGTAGATAAATGTTTGGGTCTTTGTTTCATAAAATAAATTTTATGGTTATACTAATTTATTTTTCTTGTAAGTGTCAGCCAAGAAAGTATAGGCAGTTAGTATTTACTAGCCTGTTTTTCCTTTTGAAATGTTATTAGGCTTAAAACCAATTTGACAAAGTATTGTAAGAGACAATTCTGCTATCATTGTCTATATTTTGGCTTCAAAGTTGCAAGTTTTATCAGGTCGACTCATCTTGCCAAATCACATAAGAGGCCTGGGAACCAGAAAATGTTAGTTTCTGCCTTCTGGAGTTGTGATAAATTATACTTTTGATCTTATTCTTGTCCAGTGTTTTTCAACCTTGGCATGGTTGGAAATTTGAGCTGTATAATTTCTTGTTCTGGGGGCTGTACTGTATGTACATTGTAGTATGTTAAGCAGCATCTCTGACCTCTACCCACTAGATACGAGTACTTCACCCCCCAATTAAGACAAACCAAAAACATCTCTGGACATTACCTATATATCTCTGGAAGAAGGATTCCTCCATTTGAAAACTGCTATTCTATTCTATTGTGCCTTTGTACAATTGCTTTTTAGAGCAATGATTAGATAGCTTTCTAAAGTCTATAAACCTGAAACCTCTTGCTGAGAGAATATTAACTAAAATTTCAAATTATTACCCACACAGGAGTATTGATAAAGCCAGCAACTCAGTAAGTTATTGAACATACCTTTCAGTGACAACCCTTTGTTTTCCATGGTGGTGATAAATTTCAGAAAACGCGCTTCGCCAGAGAAGATCTGGTAGTCCTACAGCTTTCTCTTCCCCAGATATTGGCTTTATAAGCCTTTGACATCTTCATGAATATATTTAATCAGGCATTCGCTTCCCTTTTACCAGTCATCTATTTCCGTCATTGAGATTACTCCCATAATTTCAAACATCAAATGGTATTTTATTTCTTATTCATATTCAGGAAGACATACTGGCCAGAAATGAACATTCGAAGAAGAATTTTGATTAATTAGACCAAAAGGAAATGAAAGAAATGATGAAGGTGAGGTCTGGAAACTAGTTTGTAAAATTCTAGAAGTCATTTACTTTAAAATTTACCTTTATTTCTCTGCAGTTTCTTGAATTTAGCATTATATTTCACTTACATGTCTCGTGTTTTATCGAAAGGTATTTTTTTAATTCAGATTGGCTGGGTAAAGTCAAGATTTCCACTACACTAAATACCAGGAAATATAGAATAAAGATTGAGAAAATAGAATTTTCGGTTCCTCGTTACATTCTCATTACAGTTCCCTCATTTTTTCTTGCTTTTACACATTGTTTTGTCCTTTTTATAATGACATATTTTTATGGTACTTTGTTTTAAACTGTGTTTTTTTTATTCGATTATCTATTTTGATTTTAACTTATATGTAAAGTTATGTCATCACCCCCAGTTTACAGATTAAAAAACAGAGGCTTGGAGAGATTAAATGTCAAGGGTATAAAAGAAGTAATTCAGTTAAGTTAGATGCTGGAAAAACTACTGCTTCAAGAGGAATCAGAAAGAATGTGGAGGGTTGGGAAATGAATCATTTAACAAACATTGCTGTAAACCCATATTGAAGATAAACAAGAAATCATTTCTGACCTTAGGGCCTTTATTTTGGGGAAGCAATATAGTAGTTTTCAAGGGCAAACACACACACATACTCACATCCTGGTAAATGATGTAGTAAAGCAAAATTCTAGGCAGTCATTTCCATACTCCTCAAGGATAGGGGTGGATAAACTGTTATTAGCACATGATTACTTTATTTTTCTGACCTCGAGCCACTCTGGGGCTAAAGTGACAAAAATTCATCTTTCATGAGCTCAAAAGTTCCATTTGCCTTTTAGAGATTTCCTAAATGAAATGATTATAATGAATAAGAACTAAGTTGTTGACGACTTTCTCTAATTTTTAAGTCCATGCATCTAAAGCAGCCTGTGACCTTTAGTTTCAATTTTACCATATGTCTCTTACAGTAAAACTGACAGATGAGGTAATTTAAAAAAAAATCCCTTTCTATGGTATTTACTTTTTCTATAGTTGCTACTGCCACGTTTGTGCTTCAGCAATTATCTTATGCTCTAGTCAGGACTTAGAAATCTTAACCAAACTAACATCACTTAAAAACTATCTTCTTAATTGTCTTAGCTTAAGCAACACTAGATTTTGAATCATACCTTTCAAGTGTGATGATTTATAATCTAAAGCTGGGTCAGGATTCCATGTACTCACTCTAGGTATCCATTTTTTCTCCTGGACAGTGAAAGTATGAATTATTAAGAGAGCAGTGCCATGTGGTAGAGAAATTAATGCTGCCCTACATTCCCCTCCTCTCTTAGAAACTTAAGAGTAGAGAAATCTGTCATAAGAACTGACAGCTTAATCTTAAAATGTAAAGGTGTTGCAACTTTTGGAGATAGCCAGGAAAGAATAATCTAAGAAAACCTGAGTCGTGTTTATTCAGTGGAGGCCAATTGATTTATTTACTTCCAAAGAGGTATGTGTTTCTCTGTGGAATTTCTTGTCTGCTTCCTGTTGCTTTACAGCCCCATGTTTCCTGTTAACGGGATATTGCAATATCTAAATAATGCAAAGGGCATATTTCATGTAGAAAGTCATAGTTGTCCTATTTTTCCTGCTATATATGTTACCCACTTTTAATTTTAATTTAGTAAGTGCTCTTTCGCAGATCTCTCCTTTCTCAAACCCTGCCCTTAATTAGAGCAATAAAGAAGTTCACTAAGAATGGGCTTGTCTGTTTTTATTTACAAAAATTCATTTGTTTGCCATTTTTGGTCTGAAGGCTTAGGATTAAACTAAGAGCTGATGATTAGTTCCTGTCAAGTAGTTGAATAAATAGCTCAAATAATGTTCAAGCGCCATGATATTTTCAGCACCTGAAACTAATAAACAATTTTGCCATCTTCTCTAACTGAGTCTAATTTTTAACATTAAGTTACATCAAGTTGGTTTTCATTCCTAATTAAGAATAGAGCTTGTACTCTCTTTATATTTTCTTTTGTTTATTTCTAAGTATGAAGTTATTTTTTAATGTCATTTATAATGCAAAAATATTTAAAATACTTCACATAACATGAAAAGTGTCTACTATAAGATAAAGTGGGTAATATTAAAGAGCAAAGATATTAAGAGATTTAAAAATCATCAAAATATTGTCTGATCTCAGAAGCTAAGCAGAGTCGGGCCTGGTTAGTACTTGGATGGGAGACCACCTAGGTATACCAGGTGCTGTAGGTGTTTAAAAAAACAAAACAACAACAAAAACCCCATCAGAATAAATATATCACAAGGATATTTCAATTTTTATTAATGAATTATCCTTAATAAAGTGAGATTTGCAAATAATTAAAAGTATTTTGTGGTATGGACTTAAAATTTCCAAATAGCCATCTTCTAAAACTCGGACTAAAAGATAAGATAGGATATATGTTGTTTTCAATATAAAATATCAGAAAATGTGAATAGCACATTGGAGAAAGGATTAATTGCAATAGTGATTACTTGAATTGCTCTGTTGTCAGGAGAAGCAAAGTATGACTTAATTACTTCCTACTATTTACATTAACATCATACATATTAAGACATACATTTCTTTTCCATAAGTGCCTTTGTTCAATATGTATCTCTTACTAGACCTTTGTGCCTTTGCCATAAGTGCCTTTGTTCAATATATATCTCTTACTAGACCTTTGTGTATCAACTTCCCTAAGTAACTCCAAAATCCAAATTCTTGATCTGTTGGCAATATCATGAGAACATTTGTTCCTTAAACAAAAAAGCCATAATGGAAGCACTTGGAAATTTTCTGTATAATTCTTTCCTTTTTTTTTCACTGATATAATATTCATATCCTCTGATCTAGTTTTATGAATTCTCTGTATTACCTTATCCTGTGAGTTTCTTGTTAATATGCTTGTTCTGAACTCTCTACTCCTTTGGACAAATTTTAATGCCTGATATAAGACAATGCCAGATCTAAGAATCATGTGTCTGGAGACTTCATAGATTCACTCTTTGAGATTATATTTTTTCAAGTAAAAGCATTAAATATTTGGTAATATGCTAGTATTAATTGGCACAGGTAATAACTTTCATTGTAAAAGATTCTTCATACTTCAATATTATGTGTGTGTGTATTCCTTACCTAATGAGAAATGTGGGGAATGGATCTGAAACATGCCCACTTCTAGGAATATCTGTCTATCATCTATCTATCTATATCTGTCTGTCTATCTATCTATCTATCTATCTATCTATCTATCTATCTATCTATCATCTATCATCATCATCATCATCATCATATTTCTATCTATATCTATCATCTATCTATCATCTATCGAGTCATCTAATAGGAAGTGGGACTTTGAGCCATACCAAGGATAATTTTAATCTTATAATTAGCACAGGTACCACCAAACAGAACAGAGAGCTACAGCAATAGACCAGGGTCCCTGAGGCTCCCTGGACTGACAAGCATTAACTCTTTAGTGATGCAATGTGGTGAACTGTGGGGATACCAAGGGAGGGACCGAGGCAGTCAAGAGGAGTCAGCGTACTTGGGAGGTCAGAGCAGCATATCTGTACTGATTTAAGAGAATTATTTCAGTATTCCAACAACTCATAAGACCATACATGTACTGACACACTATCATCTTTGCCTTCCTCCACTGTTAATCATTTTCTATATTGAAAGAATTCAGGTTGAGAAACAAGGCAAGTTCTTCACAGTTCCAGTCTACACAATCACCATCCTTCAATATATTTTTCTATTAGAATTTGTTGAAAATATCTTAGCTATGACATGTCCATCTATCTTTTCTTTTTTAAAATTCATTAAATGACTATTTCTTACTAATGTAACATCTACTTTGATATTTAGAGATTAACTAAAATGACAATTGTTTAGCAAAGCTCTTTATCATTAGGGGTTGAAATATAAATAGAAATTAATTCCTTGATAGAATGCTCTATTGACCAAAAGAAATATCCATATATATTCATATAATAATATATAACCCTCTCTCTATAGATCTACATATAGATAGGCAAATATCTAAAATGTATATATAAAATATATATAATACAAATAAAGTAAATAACATATATATACTTTTAAAATACAGGGGAAAGTATAAAGGTACTGGTTGATGATGAGGATTTCTGAGACAAAGAGTTCACAACATTTTGATTCTCTGTAATTCTAATAAAATAAGCAAAAAGTAAGCTTAAAATACTAGCAAAATTACACCTGCTTCAAAGGTGAAAGGAAGTTTGAGTATGTTAATTTTTCATGGTTCATAGCTTAGAATCAATGAATATAGTCAAGAGGATTTTTTAAAAAAGGAAAGCATTAACAGGTTATGTGAAGTTATCATTATAACCACTAGAAGAATAGAAAACAGATTATAAACCTTCTAACTTCTCAGGAAAAGAAAATATCACACAAATACACATGTACACATGTAACAGACAATATATAAGATATTCTATTTAACAAAAGATGGAAAACAAAAGAAACATAAGCAACAGAAAATATAAAAGAGGACAGAATACAATAAAACATCAAAGATATTAGTTTATTTATTAAAAGAAAAGATGATTCAGTTTCTCTAAAAGTGGCACAACCCAGTTAGATGCTGGATATAAGATATATCCAAAACCTACATTTTCAAAGGATGAGGAGCTCGGGTTGATTCTGACCCCCTAAGGACATTTGCCAATGTGTGAAGACATTTTTGATTGTCATAATTGAAGGTGGGGGTGGTCCTGGCATCTACTGGGTAGAGGCCAGAGATGCTGCCAAATATGCTACAATACACAGCACAGCCACCAAAACAAAATATTAAGCCATCCAAAATGTCAGTAATCCCAATGTTGAGAAACTCTGATGATAGAAAATGAAGTGACTAAGGAAAGTTAAAATGTAAGTACAATAAAGCCACGTCAAGCAAATTATTTAAACTTGCTGGAGTTATAAAATTAGTAATAGGT